TGGTGGGATACTGAACCATAACTTAACAATATTGTCATCAAATGTCATTGCCAATCAGTTGCACTCATACAGTCCTCGAAGACATACCGTCTCAGGACTAGCAACTTCAACGTGGAGTCATATGTCGCCATGTTACCTAATCCATCGGTAACTCTATAATCCTAAATCATTATAACATTATTTTAAAACTAAATATAATTAAACATCTGTAATCGGGTTTTTACCCACATATTTAATCTTGGTGGCTACATTCATGTACTCCTAGTAAGTATTAACCACATTGTTCTTTAACCTTAGTCAAAATTTTAACCTATGTTCTTTTTAATTAAGTGGTTAACTATTTTCTAGGACACTGATGATGGAACATGGTTTCCGAAAACGTTTTGTCTTTTTAACTTAGCCCGTTTGGGCCTAAAATATACCTATTACAAAGGATTTTTAATTAAATTTTTAATACATGGTATACAGCCAACTACAGGAACGTAGATTCCTTGTGAATTTGGAAATACTTCATGAAAAAGAAACATCTCAGCCAACGAACAACATAGATAAAAAATGGTAAAACGTAAAAATGGCGATAACAGGTCCTGCGAAGAAAATTCTGACTAAAGAAAAACCAAAAATAAAGCAAAGGTTGATGACTGATAAGATACTTCTTCTCATGGACAATCGGAGAATAATGAAAGGAAAAAACGAACAAAGGTATAAACAAATACAGAAAGAAATCAAAATAGAAATCAGAATAGCAAAAGAAGATTTTTATAAAAGGAAATGTAAAGAAATAGAGCAATTGCAGGCAAAACATGATATTTTTAATGTACATAAAAAAGTGAAAGAACTTGCAGGTACACAAAAACGAAAGCAGCCAAATACCCTGTATAATGTCAACGGAAACATAATAACCGAACTAGAAGAACAGTTAAAGACATGGAAAAACTATATTGAAGAGCTCTTTGCAGATGATAGACAACAATCTGAGCTAAGTAACATACAAGGAGACGAAGGTCCAGAAATAACGGAAGAGGAAGTAATGTACGCACTAAAAGAATGAAAAATGGTAAAGCCCCAGGTCCAGATGAAATACCAACGGAAATCCTTAAACTAATAGAAAAAGACTCGATTCACATTTTAGTTGAACTTTTCAATAGCATTTATACATCAGGAAAAATACCACAAGAATGGCTTTTATCCACCTTTGTTATTATACCAAAAAAGATAAATGCCAAACAATGTAGTGATTACCGTACAATCAGTCTGATGAGCCATGTACTGAAAATATTCCTGAAAATTATACACTCTAGAGTACACAGAAAACTGGAAATGGACATCAATAATACCCGGTTTGGATTCCGAAATGGACTCGGAACAAGAGAGGCGTTGTTTGCACTGAACGTTATGTCTCAAAGATGTCTTGACATAAATCAAGATGTATTCATGTGTTTCACAGATTACAACAAGGCCTTTGATAAAGTGCGGCACGATCACCTAATCAGACTCCTGACAGAAAAGAATTTAGATAAACGAGACATGCGACTAATAGCAAATATGTACTCCAATCAGAAAGCAGTAGTGAGAGTAGAGAATAATACCACTGAAGAAATTGAAATAAAGCGAGGTGTGAGACAAGGGTGTATACTGTCACCAACCCTGTTTAATCCCTATTCCGAAGACGTAATGAATAGAACACTCTCTGAGCAATCCGTAAGTATTAAAATAAATGGTGTTAGATTAAACAATCTAAGATTTGCCGACGACACCGTTCTGATCACAGAAACACTTGAAGAGCTACAGACATTGGTGAATAAGATAGCAGACTGCAGCGAAGAATATGGACTATCTTTGAACATAAAGAAAACTAAATTTATGGTATTATCGAAATCAATAGAAAATGTCCAAAATTTATATTTACACAATGAAATTATCGATCGAGTTAGCAAATGCAAATATTTAGGTACTTTTATAAATGAAGACAACGATAGTTCAGCAGAAATCAAAATAAGAATAGAAAAAGCCAGATCCATATTCACTAAAATGAAGAGAGTGTTCTGCGGAAGAGATTTGAGCCTTGAAATGAAACTTCGCCTGATGAGATGTTACGTACTTTCTGTGCTGTTCTACGGAATGGAGTCATAGACGTTGAAAAAGATTGATATCAAAAAATTAGAGGCATTTGAACTGTGGATGTATCGCAGAATCCTGAGAATATCATGGACCGAGAGAGTCACAAATATCGACGTCTTGAGAAGAATGAATAAAGAAAAGGAAGTCATATTTACGATCAAAAAACGAAAACTGCAATACTTGGGACACATTACAAGAGGCGAAAGATATGAACTGCTTCGAATAATTATGCAGGGGAAAATAGCAGGAAAAAGGTCCATAGGAAGAAGACGAAACTCCTGGCTAAAGAATCTGCGGGAATGATATAGCTGTAGCAACAACGAATTGTTTCGGTCAGCAGTTTCGAAAATACGTATAGCCCTGATCATCGCCAACCTTCGGAACGAAGATGGCACTTGAAGAAGAAGAAGAAGTATATTATAAAGCGGTATTATTTTGTGATTTAGTTTAAACCGTCATATTTTGACACAAAAATAGTGAAGTTAAGATATTAAAATATGAATGAAACGTTGTTTTGGTTGTTTCTATCATTTTAAGAATAAAAAATGTTTGATGTGTTTAAGATAATTAGTCAAAACGTTTTGTTTATCTCAATTTGTTTTCAGGCATTCTACACCGAATTTTAAAAAATTAATTATATGTGAATTTATATTTCTCAAGCGCATTATATGACATAGTTATACTTACTGAACTAAATTTTCTTAATCGTTCCATATTAAAAACACTTAACTAAATTAGTCACTATAAATTAAAAACATTTTGAAGCTATTGTAGTATAGACGCTCTGAAGTAAAGCGAATGAAAATTTACGAGGTAGGTAGGCGGCGCGAATGAATGTATACATTTAAATACCTACATTCTTCAATATTCTACGAGATACTAAACTTAAACTATCTTTACGTTGATGAATCTTATTCACATTTATTTTTAATTCTGGACGGTTCAGTGGGCCAGCTGTTACGAAATTAGGATGTAATGTGTCGTCCACATTATTAAATTTGTGATATAAACAATATTCGTTTTTCAGTACAATTATAAAAAAACATTAATTGTATTAATTAAATAAGTTGATAATAATACGAGCGCATGTCAAAAAGGCGAAAAGTTTTTATTTAAGAAAAGTTAAAAAGCTTTATAGAAAACTTGTTACTGAAAAATATGAACCATGAACCAACTCTAGTTGGACGAATGGCATATGTGCAACATGGAAACTAGTTTTATAAAATATAGTAGATGGTTTATGGAAGATAATAAATATAGCTTAACATTAAATCAAATAACAATACTTAATTTAAACCTACCACACGAAAACAGTTAGAATCTATTTAAATGTCTCAAGCAGAAATAAAAAACAATTTTTTTAAAAAGAAAAAAAATAGACTACCTTATTTATTTTAAAAATAAATATTGATTCAATATTCAATTTTTTAAAATATTGTAAGCAGTTTCGCACGTTACTTCAATCATATTTTACTGTCACTGTTATTAATATTTGAAATACAATTTCAAATAATTGTATTTTAAAAACCAAAAATTTATTTATTCAAAATTTACAGACAGAAAAATGTAGCATTGAATTAGTTGTAAAAAAAATTCAACTAAAAATATTGAAAATTCGTCCACGTACAATAACAAAGTTCTTTTCTCAAATTGTAAGTTTTAGCCTAGTAAGGTTCTAAATGTTCTTTTTTATCGAATTTAATAAAACGTAGTGCCATCTAACCACGAGAAGATGCTTTAGAAAAATCGCAGAGTTCCATTTGCAGCGATTGTTCGTCAATTTAATTTAACATGTTTGTATCTACATATACTTAGGACATTGTAATTCTCAAACAGCAGTTACACCGTTGTTATAGTATTAATGAAATGATTTCTGCTTGTATTATAACCTTAACCCTCCGTTAGTCGCTATCGGTCTCACACACCGACGACAGAATTATTCATTCGGGATTTACAAATAACTATTATTTTTTTATCGTCACTTTCTGTACGTCTCCCTATCAACCGAACTCGTGTTAGTGTACATTCTTACCTGCTTCGGTACAGTTGTGCGAGTTTTATAGTTATTTACGGTGCTAGACTCCGTAGCGACTAACGGTGTAGATATTACTTGTTGGCATAACTTGCAGACCAGGTAAATATTTAGCATCTTATTATTGCATTTTATCGGTAAGTTTTTGTCAATTTTTATGTCTTTTGAATCCGAACAAAAACGCCTGTTGGAATTATGGAAAATGGTTCCTACCGACGATGAAAATTATTTTGACGGTGAGGGAAGTGAAAACGAAATCGATTAAATTGAGGAACGTGATGGCGAAAGTGAATCGGAACAAGATGTGACAGATAAGGAAGAAGAAAGCGGAATTATTACCTTAGCGTTTATTGAAAAAGAAAGGAGTTACCAGATGGAAAAACGCTATTCCACCGAGAAATGTTAGAACAAGATAAGTAGTACGTAATACAAAATAATGTTTGTATTTTGAGAACGATTTTCGAAGTGGAAATTGAAACGCTAATAAACTTACTTTAACCTTTAGTTGTGGCTTATTCCCATTTAAATAGTAATTACTTTAAAATGCCACAAGAAAATAGCTTCAGAACAATAGTAACAATATATTGTTATACTAGTGTTGTTTATTTTGTGTCTGGTTTTTTTTTCAATAAAATATTTTCAAAAATATTTTTCAGTTATTCCTATACATAATATAAAATATTTGTTTGAATTTTATAGCAAAAACTATTTTTTTTTAATTGTCGGTCTCAGACACCGTAGCGACTTTTGATGCTCAGTTTTTCCTAGCGACTAACGGAGGGTTAAAAGTAAGTACATGTGCCAATTTATTCAAACTACCATGAATAGAAAAACTTTAATATTAAAAATGGGTAAGTATCTATCAGATATCTAAAATTATGACTAATATTTTAAGAACATTAGTTCCATTAAGTAGTGTCATTACTTTTAGCTCGTGAGAGATGTGATGAAGTTCTGCTTGCTGAAAAAGACAATATATCTGAAACGTCGCAAAACACTACAAGTGATAATATTATTATTAGGGAAAATAGTAGCCCTTTACAGACAATAGAAAATGTGATAGAAAACGCGGAAATAATTATCGGCTCTGGCGATGCTTCCGTTAGGTCTACAATAATTCCTTCCCAAGCTTCAGAATATACGATAATGGAATTTGCAGAAATCACGATAATAATTGCCGAATTTACAAACGAAGGTGACCATTTAGAGGAAATAGTTCAAGAAGTCGAAATAGGAACAAGTATTGAAGTATAGGTAGTAAAATTTTATTATCGTAAAAATAAAAATAATCTAAAAATAAATTTTTTTTAGGCTCCTGGGTTAGAAATTAACGAGACTTTAAAGACAGACGAAGAGGAAGAGAGTGAAGTAATTACGAAAGACAATTTTGAATCAAAAAATGTAAATATGTAAATAAGTAAAAAAAGTGGAGAAAACGCTTGTTAAAAAAAATTATACAAATCAGAATCTTGGAAAAACAATTTACGAAAAAAGCTTTGTCGGGCAGGTTAAGAATATGTTAGCCCAAGAGGAAAGCAGGTTAGCGCAAAAATGGTAGTAAATAAAAAAGATTGCCTTAATACATGCAAATTCTAATGCGCCAAAAAAAATAGGTGAAAATGCCCGAAAAAGATTGTTTAATTATTATTATGAATTAAATCAAAATGAAAAGCATGTGTTTCTTAATCAAGTAACTGAAAAATATATTAAAGGGCGCAAAACCTCAACAGTTGCTTCTCGTCGTACCTATTCATTTAAATACTTTTGTTGAAGAGGAGAAAATAAATGTATGCAAAAATTTTTTCTTTGTAGCTCTAAATATTAGTCAAAAACCAGTATACACTGTACATTCTGTTGATCATGAAACTCCAAAAATAGATATGAGAGGAAAAACTGGTACTAGAAAAATTAGTAATGAGAAAATGCAGGCAGTTATCGATCATATTAATAAATTTAATGTAGTTGAATCTCCTTACTGTAGGCACAATAGCCAGAAAAAATATTTGGAAGCATCTTTAACAATTCAACAAATGTACGATTTATATCTTAATTACTGTGCTGAAAATAACATAGAAACAGTTAAACTCTCAATGTACAGGTATATACTCTGTACCAATTTTAACTATAGTTTTCACAAACCAAAAAAGTCATGTATGAAACCTGCTCCACCTTTTACTTAAAGAAAAAAGAAAATAGATTAAATAATACTGAAGCCGAATCTAGGAAAAACATACCAAAGAAAAACAAAATGATAAGAAAAGTGACATTCCAGTTTTGTTTTGACTTGGAAAATGTAATAACTTGTCCAAGCTCTTATATTGATAATTACTTTTATTTACCAAAACTTACTATGTACAATTTAACAGGGCATTTATCCACAACAAATAACGCATTTTCTGCAATATGGATAGAAACTAAAAAAGGGGTTAGATCTTTGTAAATGGGTATATTTAAAAAACTCTTAAAAGGGCTACATCAAATTACACAAACGTTTTCGGAATAATAATTCCATCATCAGGTTTAAAAATGCCTAAAATAAATATAAACCATTTAGTTAAAGCAAACGTGGTTTGAAATTTTGACTAAGGTTAAAAAAAGCAAAAATGGTTATGCTTACAAGTTAACATGCCTGAGCCACCAAAATATCAGAGTAAACACCCTTTAAAATACTTGAGGTTACAAAAGATTATACATAATGTTGGAATTAATATTTGATGTTTAATATTAAATTAAATTTAACTTTAGGTAACATACACCCATGTATTAGGTAAGTTCCAGCGTCCGGAGAGTAAACCTCTTCCAATGGACTACAGTTGGTAACTGATTGACAAGATACCTATGAACGGTGTCGAAAACAAAATGTCAATGTACCATGAAACAATATTAGTTATACATATTATTACTACAGCCAAAAGATTAAAAAACTTTGATGATGTTAAAAAAAATAACAGCAATCCAGATGTTGGGATTTAAAAACTTTTTCATAATTATTTAATTTTGGATATAAAAGAAGTCAAATTACCGATGGTGTTAAAGGTCATGTTTAAGCTAAGAGAATGACGTGTGCATTAGGCAACCTATGTTACTCTTTGTTGTATGGAGTGTGGTCTAAAAAGTGTAATTTGTGATAGATTAGCTTAGATATATGAAATTGTCCTTTTATGTTGATCACATATAGGACAAGGTAAAATTGAATAGTATATATTTGTAGCTAATATAAGACCTCGTATTTAAATGAAATTGTTTAAGACTGCTCGTATGGTGAAAAAGTTAATATAAGTAAGTCTAATAAAGTGAAAATGGGGTTAGAAATCTTCCGGCTGAAGAAATTAAAGTTATAACATATGGAATTAAATTTAAAATTGAATAGAAACTCTCCAGGGACGACGCCTAGCCAGTGCGTTCAGAAAAATTATAGAAAAGGTTTTAGAAGAAAATCATCTTAGACAACTTATCACTTGGAGTGACAGCTGCGTTCCCCAAAATCGAAACCCCCATATTTCTTTTTTTGTTATAGATGTACTTAAAAATCATCCAGACCTGGAGGTTTTAACAATGAAGTATTTCATTCCTGGACACGGTGCTGTACAGAAGGTAGACAATATTCATAGCCAAATTGAAAGGCACATGTATAAAACAAAATTTTTCTCACCTATTGATAGATTGTTTTAAAAAACTGCAGAAGAGAAAGTTCCTCCTAATCTTGTAATTCTTTTCGCAAAAAAAGAAATTTCAAAGGAAAAAATCAGTGTCATAAAGAAAATGATGCCGTCCATGCCACAAAATGACCAAGACTATTACAAAGCTCTGTTAAATTTAGAATAATATTTCATTTATTTACTTATAGTTAGGTCAGTTAAGGTTTTATATTAGAAATATTTGTTTTGATTTTAAGAAACCAATAAAATCTTTTAAAAATGTTCACTTGGAACTTCGATTTAATTTCATGGGATATGATGTGAAAATCATATTAATCTAACAAAGTTGTAACTGGCAGTTAAAACCATGTTCAATTAAATATTTGTGAAAATGTAATTTTATAAGGTTCTATGTTCATTTATGACTTGCCAGTTCTAGATTTAGTTGAAGTTCTATCTCTAATATTTGTGAATTAAATTTACTAGAATACTTTAGAAGAATAAAAATTATTCTGCATCTATATTAATAATTTTACAGTTCATAATTGGTTACGCAAACTTTACCCTTTGTTTTCTCAAAATGGTTGACTATACAGATACAACTTTATTAATTTAAGGGGACGAATTGTAGATTTTTGAGGTTAAACCTAGGATCGCTATATTTTATGATAACCTAGTTGACCCGGCGGACTTTGTACCGCCTCAGAATTAAATACTGTGTCAAAGTTGTTAAAGTTCAATCAGCTCAGCTCCTATTTCGAGTCTGTTCAGGAGTTAACAGAAATCTCTGGGTAATAAAATGAACCCGGTCGAGGTGGCAATAGCTACTTTAACATTTCCAACATCTAACAATTACTTCGATTACATATAAATGCTTCAGTGTTGAACTGTGGTTCTCTTTGTAACTGTTGTTCTCTATCGTAAAGTCACAAAGGAAACGAATACCATTTATTTAATATCAAATATTCATAGTTCGTCATAAATTTTCTTAAAGAAAGATAGTAGACTGCATGAAACAATATATGTCTTAATAATAAACTAAAACAAAAATAAATAAATAAAACACAGACCAAACAATCGAATTTATTTTACTCTATTTTATTTTAGTTTATTTTATATTATTTTATTTTATTCTATTTTATTCTACTTTATTCCATAATTTTATTTAATTTTGATATATTTTACTTTACTCTTTTTTATTCTACTTTATTTCATTTTATTCTAATTTATATTATTTTATTTCGTTTCATTTTATTTTATTGTATTTTATTTTACTCTATTTTATTCTATTTTATTTTAATTTCTTTTATTTTATTCTATTTGAATTCTATTTTATTCTACATTATTCCGTTTTATTCTAATTTCCAGCTACCAATATATATGTTGCCAAGTCTCACTTTAAGAAAAGGTAATTTTTCAACGTTATTGTTGGTGAACGTTGGCTGTTTGCGTTTTTCTCTCGTGAAATAAAGTTGTTGTACATTCACCAGGTGAACAGCTTAATTAACTACAGTCGCATGACGTTTGTGTATGGAAAATGAAGAGATTCTCCAAACCGCCTCATTGACTTATCTTTCCATCTGATATGTTGAAACTTTATCGTTATTATTTGGAGCCGCAATATCAAATACAGCTATTGCTTTATCTCCATCTATCAATACTGACATTTATTTTGTTATTCATAGCTTCCTTTGTTATTCATAGTATGCGCCATCTATTAGTTATATTGCGATTTAAAATTGAGGAAAACAGAAAAACTGACTTTACGTCTTTCCGTACAATTTTTTGAAAATTATTTTTTACACAATCCTTGTCTTAATAATACCAAATACACCAGAAAAAGAATTATCCAATTTGGTGCAGTCGTTCTGAAGGTTAGGTTCTGGGTTTGGAAATCGATTTCAAGATTGGATGTTCAATAAAAAAAAGTTTAAACATTTTTTATGATTTTGCCGAAACTACTGGCAATATTGTAATGCAATATTATACGAATTTGCTTTTATATCGACTCATAGAGGGCGCTAGTAACAAGGCTCGTATCAAGTGTTATTCAAAACAACGTTTTTAAGAGTAGAATTATTATTCAAAACTCCAAGTGAACTTAAACAAGTGGATTAGACACAAAATTAAGGGAAGCGAAACTTTCCGAGAAACTTCACTTGTGAGTGTTGATTAATCTGTGATCTACATCGAGAACACATAAAATTTGCGCCACTAAAAGCATCGCTATTTAAGATCGAGGCCAAATAAGTCACCCGTCAGTTTTGAAAAACATAACCATGCCCCGGAAAATTATATGCATGACCTTGAAACATTCCACCATCACTTTGACCCCCAGGCAGTTAATAAAGAGAAATGACAGCCTATCTCTCTCACGAAGACTTTAGCCAATCATTTATTGTAACACAGTCTAGACGTATCAATCAAATAATCAAACGAAGCTTAATTCCGCAATGTCAATTCTGTCAAAAGTAATGACAGATCTTTCGTTTGTTTACAAGTTTTCAATTTTATTTTATTATCTTTAACTTTCGTTTGCGTTTATTCTTAGTAATTTTAATTTAAGTTGGTTACTTAGTTTTTAAAGTTTAGTTTGAGTTACCTATTGTAGCAAAGCATTTTTGTGTTGTGCTAGTAAAAAAACTAAACATGGTGAATTATTGTATTGTTCCGTTCCATACAAATCATGGAAAATTACAAAAAGGATGATGATAGTAAGTTGTCAAATAGTAAGTTGTCAGGAAGCAAACAATAATAGTATTTAACATTTGTTTCTGAAAATATGTGTAATAAATATGTAATTAGGTTATAACCGTTTTATCTTAAACAACAAATAAATATACTTATATCTAGAAAAAATTGTGCATTTTTTATATATCCTTTTAATTTTTAATAATATATGTGAGATTATTTCATCGGAAAATAGTAAGATATTTTCCAGTAAATTTTAATTAGTAACGAAATAGCCCACAAGAGGCGCTAAAGGGTATGTATGTAGGGGTGTCCATTTGAATTTCCCGCCAAAAGATGATTAGTAATGACCCCACCCGCAAGGCGTCCTAATGAACGAAAATTATACATTGAATTGCCTATCTATTATATTATTCATCTATGAACATAACCTACCTAAACTGTAAAAATATTAGATCGCCTTCGATCCATCTACTTGTTGGTAAACATTTTGCAATATATCATTTTTGTACTAAAAACTGAATTTATTACGAACTATAACATTATAAATCACTCACCTGCGCTGCTTCTTCCTCTCTTCCTTCGTGGACGATCTCCCAATCTCGTTCATCGCTTGGTTCTTCCGGAGCAGCTATTGGAGGTAGATTTGAATCAAACAAAAACGCATGGTATAGTTCCAGATGACCTCTCACCCTTGAACGGGCACTGAAATCACTTTATTACATAGTCGTTAAAAAAGCAGCCATGCAGCAAAAAATAATGTAAATAACAAAAAATAATTTACTTTCAAAACGTGAATAGTAAAATGGATCAAAATGAAAGTGCCTTCAGGCGATTTATTTACTTTTTTGTTTACAAAATCACAATTTCTTACACGTAACTATCCACAATTGAAGTAAAAAAAGAGAAACAGTGAGAACAACATGCTGTTGGCAAAATAGTAATGGCATAATAAAATTCTAGGATAGTGTGGAAAAGTGGCCACAATATTAAGGACATCGTGGAACAAAGAGCAATCCTAATCCCAATCCGCGTCAAGCTTCTGTAACGAATAATACACGTAGTTGACAAGTTTGCCAAGATTTATTTGTCTTTATTGACTAATTATTATTAAATTATGTACTTATTAATTATTATTAAATTATTTGTTATCTATTCTATTCCTATCATCATCATTTTGGCTTTACAACCGGGTGTAGGACCTAGCCTCCCCAAGAATTTTTTTCCAGTCGTCTCTATCCATCGCCATCCTCCGCCAAGAACGTATTTCCATATTTCTCATATCTTGATCTATGTTATCTAGGAATCTTGTTCTGGGTCTTCCTCTTCTTCTTTGACCAATAGGTCTACCAAAGAGCGTTTTTCTAGCTGGGTCGGTATGCTTCATCCGCATTACATGGCCTACCCACCTCAGACGTCCTATCTTAATGTGTTTTACGATATCTGGTTGCTGGTATATTCTATAGAGTTCGAAGTTGTATCGTCTTCTCCAGACATCATTTTCATTTACCGCTGATCAAAATTTATATCGCAGCATCTCTGTATTAAAGCCTGGATGATAAATAGCACCTCTCTTGGACCGAAACCATGATCCCAAACTGAGATTTGTCAGTCTGTTTTATTTTTTTAATATATACCAGGGGTCTCGTCTAACCGACAATCCCTCGTATAGTTCTCTCAATAATAAACCTTTTATCTGGACTGATTCATTCTTGTTTTAAGTTTAAAGTGTTTTAAAGGAAAAAAATGAAATTATATCATGGAGGCGACGATACTTGCGATCCATAAGACAATATATGCAGGAAGACCGTACTATTTATTATTTGGATGAAACTTAGTGAACGCTGGTCATACTGTTGACAGAGTCTGGACTGACATGTCAATCACCAGTGCTCGACAAGCATATGTTGAATGTTGGAGGCCTTTCTACAGGATTGAAACATCCTTCTGGGAAAGGCAAACGACTTATTGTTTTACATATCGGATCTAAAAATGGATTTGTGGAAAACGGACTGCTTTTGTTTGAATCCTAAAAAAAATATGGCAACTACCATGAAGACATGATTTCCAACCTTTTTGAAGAGTGTCTGCAAATGGTTCTGCCAACTTTAGCTAAAACAGCAGTTACTGTCCTAGATAATGCGTGCTCCCGTAGCAGAAAATATGAAAAGATACCAACTAGTGATATGCGAAAAGCTAATATTCAAGAATGGTTTCGACAAAAAATATTTTACTGACGACATGGTTAAAACTGAGTTACTAACGTTAGTAAAAGTCATCCCATAGAATAAAAGTATGTGGTAGATGAAATTCTTAAGTCTTTCGGTAGATGTGTGCTTAGATTGCCCCTTATCACTGCGAGCTAAACCCCATTGAGCAAATATGGGCACAAGAGTGAAGTTGCAAGAAAAAATACCACATATAAATTAAATGACGTAAAAGTACTTTTCAGCGAATCACTGAATAATGTTACTTCGGATTCCTAGAAAAATGCTATCAACCATATATATGGCATCATATCCAAGATGTGGGAACTAGATTTTATTGTAGAACAGCAGTAAAAAAAAAGTAAAGTTCGTGTAACCTTCTGGCTAAGTTGTAGTGTTAGGGTTTTCAGGTCGCGCAGGCGCCCCTAACATGACTTAACAATAACTTTCGTATCCGGGACCGACGGCTTTACGTGCCCTCCGAAGCACGGTGGCAGCTCAGTTAAATTAGAAATTGGAAATTTTGTTTTCATCCGAGGACACCGATAATAATTAATTTATTAATTAAGAATAAAGGTAACCTCATTTTTTGTCATATTTTTTTTTATTTAAAACGCCCAACTTGAAAACACTCAAATTCAGTTGAATTCGGTTCAAGGTTGAAAAACAATATCATTTTTTTTTTCAAAACAACATTTTTTTTAATATAGAACTTTAATATGTGTCATCCTGTTATTGATTATTTAATTTTTTTGAATTGTCTTTTCAGAAGACGATAATTAAAATACAGAAATTTCAATTTGATATGATTTTTCGGACTAGTTGGTCACACTATTCATACTACATAATAAATAATAAATTGTAAATATCATAACTTCATTTTTACAGTGACAAATAGAATTAAGTGTTCAAAGTATATTATGGGTTTTACCGCATTTACTGCGATAATTGTATCTCTCTTCTTGGCCTATTATGTAAATCGAACTTGTGACGTTGGGAACTGCAACTCGTAACCAGTGCATAGCGTTCACGTGATAATTCTATCTATCCGGCGACTCAACTACACTTGAGTGAAAAAAAATCGACTCAAAATTATTTTGCGAAAGTACGTCTCCTGTTTCAATCAAAAAACGTGTAAATTTAAAAATATTTAGTATACAATTATTAACCTCATTATTAAGCTTGAAAAAAGTTTTGATTTTTGGTAAATCGGGTGACGTATTATAAATAAATAATGCAACACGTAGAGAGGGGGTCATAATTTGACCCATTGAAATCGACACGCACCCACTTACACATTTGGTTAACATCGTAAGCATGGATTTCCATAGCAACCCACGAATACATCAGTCAATTAAGTTCGCAACTTCATAACAAATGGATACCACATCCGTCAAAGCAGCTCAAGCAGTCGCATTATTGATAGAAGACCTGAGCCAGAGAGCCGTGGCAAATCGACTAAATTTAAGCCAATCTGCTATGTCCTGAGTGTATCGTCGGTACCAAGATACTGGTGATTATGTCCGCCGACAAGGAGGAGGTCGTAAACGAATAACAACAGAGAAAAATTATCGATTTCTTGTATCTAAATCTCTGACAAATCGACATTTGACTGGTGCTAATCTCAAAGAAGAGCTTAAGGTCCGAGGTGTGGTTACCAGCGTTTGGACAGTCAGAAGGAGACTGAAAGCAGCCAACCTAACACCAAAAAGGACAGCTACTGGTCCCAAGGTAACTGCAGCCCAAAAGCAAAGACGACTAGTATTTGCTCGCGAACATAAGGATTGGGACGACTATCAATGGTCAGGTATTATTCTCCGACGAAAGTAGGATCTGCCTACATGGCAACGACAAAAGGCGTCGAATCTATAGAAGGCCAGGGGAACGATTTGCTCAATGTTGTATTCGAGAAATTGTGTCATATGGAGGCGGTTCTTGTATGTTTTGGGCAGGCATTTCCATGGATGGTAAAACCGAGCTAGTTTTCGTGCCTGGTGGGGGACGTGGAGGAGGTTTAACGGCGGATCGTTACATCAGAGATATTTTGGAGGAACATGTGGTTCCATACGCGGATTTATTGTCATACCGCACGAGTCACCACCACCTACCTGACTGAGATCGGTATCTTCTTCTTCCTATGCCGTCCCCATTAACGGAGGTTGGCGACCACATTTTTAAAAGCTTCTCTGTCTTTTGCAACGTGGAATAATTCGTCTACAGTCATGTTTGTCCAGTCTCGAATATTTCGCAGCCATGACTTCCTCTTTCTACCTATTCCCTTTTTGCCATCGACTCTACCCTGCATGATGACCTGCAGAAGACTATATTTATTATTTCTTAGTATGTGTCCAAGGTATGCAGTCTTGCGTACTTTTATCGTTCTCAACAATTTTTTGACTCGACCCATTCTTCTTAGCACTTCCTCATTGGTGACCCTGGCAGTCCATGGGATTCTCAACATTCTCCGGTATATCCAAAGTTCAAAGGCTTCAATCTTTTTAACTATTTGCGCTTTTAGTGTCCATGTTTCTACCCCGTACAATAATTGCGACCAGACGTAACATTCAACAAATCTCAGTCTCAGCGCAATATTCAGATTTTTGTCACAGAACAATTGTTTGAATTTTAAGAACGCTGCCCTTGCCATTTCTATTCGTACCCGGATCTCTTGGTCTGGATCTAATTCTGTGTTGATGTAAGCTCACAGATATTTATATTTTGTCACTCTCTCTATTTGCTGTCCACCAAGAGTTAGTTGTTCATTATTTATTGGACTCCTTGATACTATCATCAATTTGGTCTTATCTGTGTTGATGTCAAGTCCCATTTGAATGCATTCACTATTTATTGCATCTAGTAAAGTTTGTAGATCTTCTATACTCTCAGCCATAATTACCGTGTCATCTGCAAATCTCATGGTGTTTATGATTTCTCCACCAATTCTTATTCCCTCTTTTCTTTCCCATAAGGCTTTTCTGAATATGACCTGTGAGTACACGTTGAAAAGCGTCGGAGACAAGACGCATCCTTACCTAACCCCTCTCGCAATAGGTATATTATTTGTTTCTATATCGTTCACCTTTACTACTGCTTTCTGGTTCCAGTATATAGCCTTAATAAACTCAATGTCTTTTTTGTCTAAATTGATGTTTTTTAATTCATCTATTAACTTCATATGCTGCATATGCTTTAGGCCTTCCTAAAGTCTATGAAGCATACATATGCACTCTTGTTATATTCCCGACATTTCTGCAAGAGTACCGTCAACGCAAATAATGCCTCTCTTGTACCCATGCCTCCTCTGAAGCCAAACTGAGTTTCATCTATCTGTTCCTCACATTTCTTATAAATTCGGTTTTGAACAATTTTCAAAAGAATCTTTAAAGGGTGGCACATTAGGCTTATCAATCTATAGTCATTACATGATTTTGGATTGTTGTTTTTTGGTAGAGGTAAAAATATCGATTTAAGCCATTCTTCCGGGATGTTGCCCTCTACATATATGTG